TAACGCCTGGAGTTTGCTAAACGGCATTGTGTTCTTCAATCTCATAAAACATAATAGAAAAAGGCTAAATGCCGTTATCCTCACAAGGGGAGGGTGCACAAAGTATTGAAAACAGGGGTGGCAATCATTTTGACACCTATCTAAAAAATAAATTGCTTGTTAAACAAAATATTTTTCTCTGAGCAATTGTATTCATATAAAATACTATATATTTTTTGGGAGGGAGCATACAATATGGCTCAGTATTTGTATTACCCTGTATATTAATGAGATGTGCCTGTGCCGGTTTAACTTTAGTATCTTTGATTTAGCTCTGGGCAAAATGTTCTCAGACTAGCGTTCTGTCCAGGGTGTATACTTGTACAACAAGCTGCCTCATGCTACAGAAACAGGAGATAGGCTCCTGCCCTATGGGCCGTTCCGGCTCAGACAAGGCTTACTTACTTAGCTACAATGTTCTCATATGTCCTTCCACAGAAGAACCCCCTCTCGTATATGTACAGTGCCTAATGAAAGTCTACACACCCCTTGCACAGTCTTCACATTTTGCTGCCTAAAAAATCAAAATAGATATTCAATGGGATTTTTTTCCTAGTGATCTACACAACCAACTCCACGTTTGTGATTTTTTTCAATAAAAACATCTCCAAATTCATCAAAGGTCATAATGCAGCAGTTTTTATCTCAATATCAAATCATTTCTGGGTAAAAGTACATTACTGTGATTGTTTTCAATTAAAACGGTCATAAAGAAACAAAAATAGCTTCTTAGCAAAGAGCAATTTCTTAAGAAAGAATTTAGCTAGAGAGTGGTCTGAGTGGGGAGGGGAAAACAGAGAGATTTGGAACTCCGTTTTTTATTGGTCTATTAACTAATTTACCGCCTGGTCACCATGCAGGCCAAAACTCCATCCCACCTAAACAGGCTTTAATTGCAGGCGTTCACCCTCCAATGGACATGTATCATTGTTACTGTTGACACTGTAGTCCCCTGTAGCTCAGTTGGTAGAGCATGGCGCTTGCAACGCCAGGGTTGTGGGTTCGTTTCCCACGGGGGACCAGTATGAAAAATGTATGCACTCACTAACTGTAAGTCGCTCTGGATAAGAGCGTCTGCTAAGTGACTAAAATGTAAATATGTAGATATTATTGTTTCATTCACTTCTCTTTTTGACCTGCACTGTTGGAGCTCGGAGCTTAAGAATTTCACTGTACCCTGCAATCACATCTGCGACCCTGTGCATGTGACTAATAAACTAATCTAATCAACAAAATATATATATATATATATATATATATATATATATATATATATAAAGTACCAGTCAAAAGTTTGGACACACCTACTCATTCAAGGGTTTTTCTTTATTTTTACTATTTTCTACATTGTAGAATAATAGTGAAGACATCAAAACTATGAAATAACACATATGGAATCATGTAGTAACCAAAAAAGTGTTAAACAAATCAAAATATATTTTATATTTGAGATTCTTCAAAGTAGCCACCCTTTGCCTTGATGACAGCTTTGCACACTCTTGGCATTCTCTCAAGCAGCTTCATGAGGTAGTCACCTGGAATGCATTTCAATTAACAGGTGTGCCTTGTTACAAGTTAATTTGTGTAATTTCTTTCCTTCTTAATGCATTTGAGACAATCAGTTGTGTTGTGACAAGGTAGGGGTGGTATACAGAAGATAGCCCTATTTGGTAAAAGACCAAATCAATATTATGTCAAGAACAGCTCAAATAAGCAAAGAGAAACGACAGTCCATCATTACTTTAAGACATGAAGGTCATTTTCTTCAAGTGCAGTCGCAAAAACCATTAAGCGCTATGATGAAACTGGCCCTCATGAGGACCGCCACAGTAAAGAAGATAGCCCTATAAATAGATGGCCATCTATAAATCACTGCTAGGCAAATCCCTGCCTTATCTTAGCTCATTGGTCACCATAGCAACACCCACCCGTAGTCTGCGCTCCAGCGGGTATATCTCACTGGTCATCCCCAAAGCCAACACCTCCTTTGGCCGCAATTCCTTCCAGTTCTCTGCTGCCAATGACTGGAACAAATTGCAAAAATCTCTGAAGCCGGAGACACTTATCTCCCTCACTAACTTTAAGCATCAGTTGTCAGAGCACCTTACCGATCACTGCACCTGTCCACAGCCCATCTGAAATTAGCCCGCCCAACTACCTCATCCCTATATTGTTATTTATTTTGCTCATTTGTACCCCAGTATCTCTATTTGCACATCATCTCTTGCACATCTATCATTCCAGTGTTAATACTAATTGTAATTATTTTGCACTATAGCCTATTTTATTGCCTTACCTCCATAACTTGCTAAATTTGCACACACTGTATATTATATGTATTTCTGTTGTATTTTTGACTTTGTTTTGTTTTACCCCATATGTAACTCTGTGTTGTTGTTTTTATCGCACTGCTTTGCTTTATCTTGGCCAGGTCGCAGTTGTAAATGAGAACTTGTTCTCAACTGGTTTACCTGGTTAAATAAAGGTGAAATAAAAAAAAAATATTTAAAAAAGGAAGACCCAGAGTTACCTCTGCTGCAGAGGATAAGTTCATTAAAGTTACCAACCTCAGAAATTGCAGCCCAAATAAATGCTTCATAGAGTTCAGGTAACAGACACATCTCAACATCAACTGTTCAGGGGAGACTGCGAGAATCAGGCCATCGTGGTCGAATTGCTGCACAGAAACCACTACTAAAGGACAGCAATAAGAAGAAGAGACTTGCTTGGGCCAAGAAGCACGAGCAATGGACATTAGACCGGTGGAAATCTGTCCAAAATTAAGATTTTTGGTTCCAACCGCCGTATCTTTGTGAGACGCAGAGTAGTTGAACGGATGACCTCTGCATGTGTGGTTCCCACCGTGAAGCATGGAGGAGGAGGTGTGATGGTTTGGGGGTGCTTTGCTGGTGACACTGTTGATGATTTATTTAGAATTCAAGGCACACTTAACCAGCATGGCTACCACAGCATTCTGCAGCGATACGCCATCACATCTGCTTTGCACTTAGTGGGACTATCATTTGCTTTTCAACAGGACAATAACCCAACACACCTCCAGGCTGTGTAAGGGCTATTTAACCAAGGAGAGTGATGGAGTGCTGCATCAGATGCCCTGGCCTCTACAATCACCCGACCTCAACCCAATTGAGATGGTTTGGGATGAGTTAGACCGCAGAGTGAAGGAAAAGCAGCCAACAAGTGCTCAGCATTTACATTTACATTTTTAGTCATTTAGCAGACGCTCTTATCCAGAGCGACTTACAGTTAGTGAATACATATTTTTAATTTGTTTTATACTGGCCCCCCGTGGGAATCGAACCCACAACCCTGGCGTTGCAAACGCCATGCTCTATCAACTGAGCTACATCCCTGCCGGCCATTCCCTCCCCTACCCTGGACGACGCTGGGCCAATTGTGCGCCGCCCATGAGTCTCCCGGTCGCGGCCGGCTGCGACAGAGCCTGGAGCCTCAGCATATGTAGGAACTCCTTCAAGACTGTTGGAAAAGCATTCCAGGTGAAGCTGGTTGAGAGAATGCCAAGAGTGTGCAAAGCTTTCATCAAGGCAAAGGGTGGCTACTTTGAAGAATCTCAAATATAAAATATATTTTGATTTGTTTAACACTTTTTTGGTTACTACATGATTCCATATGTGTTATTTCATAGTTTGGATGTCTTCACTATTATTCTACAATGTAGAGGAGAGAGAGTTAGCTTTAGCAGTGCGGAGAGTCTCCGTGACACAGAGAGGAGCAGTCTCAGTTGAATGACAAGTCTTGAAACCTGACTGGTTTGGATCAAGAAGGTCATTCTGAGAGAGATAGCAAGAGCGTTGGCTAAAGACGGCACGCTTAAGAGTTTTGGAGAGAAAATAAAGAAGGGATACTGGTCTGTAGTTGTTGACATCGGAGGGATCGAGTGCAGGTTTTTTGAGAAGGGGTGCAACTCTCGCTCTCTTGAAGACGGAAGGGACATAGCCAGCGGTCAAGGATGAGTTGATGAGCGAGGTGAGGTAAGGGAGAAGGTCTCCGGAAATGGTCTGGAGAAGAGAGGAGGGGATAGGGTCAAGCGGGCAGGTTGTTGGGCGGCCGGCCGTCACAAGTCGCAGATTTCATCTGGAGAGAGAGGGGAGAAAGAAGTCAAAGCATAGGGTAGGGCAGTGTGACCAGGACCATGTTCCTCATATTGCATTATTAACATACCTTGAACATACCAATGGCACGGAACAGAGGAATTGTCATGTATGCGAATAAGGACTGGGGAATAATAAAACAAAAACAACTTATAGGAATTAATATGCAGGATACATGATGAAAATCACATAAATCCCATGCATCACATGCTACAAAACAGTTATTTCCCATTATTTGACCTGAATGCTATCCACTATGAGTGAGATGGATGCCAGATGTGCAATGGCAGGGACCTAATCAAAATGAAATATGTGTTTGCCAACTGTATTGACTATTGAACAGTGAGGACAAAATGAATGGGGGGATTTTAGTGGCAAGGTGAAAACAACTGAACCTCCTGCAATGACTGTTCTATAAAGAACCTGTACAATAGTCCATTGTAATATAGTCTTCTTTTACAACTGTAATTGTAAGCATCTTGGGAGGTCAACAGGTTATTGGCCTACTTGTTAGATTAAAGTAGAATACAAGTATGTCTACTGTATGGGTATTTTGAGAACTAACGTTAATTTAGAAAAATAAAGTAATAACCCAGGGTGAATAACCTAAATACTTTTGGCTCTAAGTGTTTTTGCTGGGAACTTTAAATGGGTCGGGTTTGTTATTTGTGCCAAGCGTGGGTTAGACGGGAAATTACACCTTCAATGAACAAGAAGCGGGCATTTTACTTGCGAACGCAGGGTGAAAGTTTAACGCAAATTGCGTCAGCCCTATAGCCAATCAGAGAGCATATTGTGAACGCATCACAGTCTCTTTCAGCCTATCAGATTTCACCACGACTGTAGAAATAGATTGGAAGCGGAAAGCCCTTTTTTATATTTGAGAACTGACAGGGATAGAAAGACGACCAAAAGAAACCTTAGGTTTCTTAGAAAATAAATGAGAATACCCCAATATTTCTGAAGTTCATAATGATAAACAAGATGGTCGTGGGGACAGCGGGACATAAAGTCCTCTTGATATCTGGCCAACAGAATGGCTCTTCCAGCTCAACACAGGGCTACAGCCGGTCAATATCGGTCGTTTTGCCGTCGCAAAACCAAGCGAATTCTTCAGATTCCGACTCAAATTCGACCACTGGGCCACCCCTGCGAAAAAGACAGAGACTCACTCATTTGAGTCCAGAAGAAAAACAACTTCGCAGGTTAGTTTCATGAATGGACAATTTGGTCTATTTAGTCTTAACATTATTATCATGGCTAGTTAATGATTATCTAACAGGCAGATGCGATCATATCGATCTCGTGACACCAAAGGGGACAATGTTGAATTGATTGATTGACCAAAGGGAGCCGGCTACTCCCTACGCCACACAAATGGACAGATTCCCATGAATGGCATCGCTGTCTTTCCAATAGCTGTGCTAAGAATAAACCATGCACATTCAAAGTTAGAATAAGGTAGACGTGTACTTTTTAGCTGGCGAATCGGCCTGTCACGTTAACCGGCTTCGCGTATCAACAGATTTGAGTTGTCAGCCGGCTGGGTCCCACCCAGTTTTGTATATTTGGATCCTGTTCTGCCTGCATGACATAAACGTGGCGGCTGATTGTGCAATAACCAAGAACTCTATCCCCTTCCTGTCAGTCATCTTGCTTTGTCAACAATTTCTAAAGATAATGTTTGATCATCAGGAAACTCAAGAACAGAGTTGCAGCCCAGACGGCCAGAGACAGAAAAAAAGCCAAAATGGGGGAGCTGGAAGAGCAAGTTCTGGTGTTGGAGCTGGAGGTAAATAAATTATATCAGTCCATAAATTATGTGATGGTGTTAATGACTGCTATTTATTACTGTTATTCCTAAACTGACTAAGGTGTTAAAATGCAAATTCTAAGTTTCTCTCTCTCATCTCTAGAACCAGAAACTTCACGTTGAAAACGGGCTGTTACGGCAAAAGATATGCGGTCTGGTGAACGAGAACGAGGAACTGAGACAGAGGCTGGGGTTGGACACACTTGAGGCCAAAGAGAAGGTAAGTGGATTTGAGTGAGTTATTGGTAATGCGGGGGACAGACAGTTGCACCACTTGGTTGTCAGAGCCTATGAGTTTATTATAACGCCGAACTCTTCTCTCCACTACCATCTCATCCCCCCCCCCCCCAGGTTCAGGTGTTGGAATCCAATGGGATTGATGCAGGTTTGGGGATCGGGTCTTCTGAGTCTGCAGTACTCAGGCTATGTGTGCCTCCGCAGCAGGTGCAGGCCCAGCAATTCTCAAATCTGAAGATTTCCCAATGGATACAGACAGTCCTGACTCTACAGACTTTGAGGTGAGACACGTAGACCACTATGGACACCATTTTGTCTGCTACAGCTAATGCATGGCCATTTTGATTTGAGAAATGGATAAGTGCTTTCTCAAATGGAGATGCGTATTCCAGCACTTTTTTATAATAATGAATAGTAATTGATTGGCTTCGTGTAGTGCATTTTCCAGTAGCTCAAAGCGCTTCTATAATGCTACCCATCTTGCTTGTTGGTAATTTCCAGTTCCACCCATCCCTGTTCAGAGTTGTAACCTGCTCGCTCTCTCCCCTTCCAGTCTGATCTCTTGCTGGGCATTCTGGACATCCTTGACCCAGAGCTGTTCCTCAGGGAGTGTGATGAGCAGGAGATCCAGGAGCAGGCGGTGCTGCTGGTCGGAGGGGGGGGAGGAGTACCTGCCCCCTCACCTGCAGCTCTGGGGGCCACACCAGTTAAGCTGGAGGCCCTTAATGAACTGATCCACTTTGACCACATCTACACCAAGCCCGTGGAGGAAGTGGTGTGTGTCCTCGGGCAGCAGGAAGTGAATCATGAGGAGAGCGTGACAGAGATAAAGATGGCCGAGGAGGTTGACGTGTGTGTCAAAGATGAGCCGGAGGAAGTGGTCATCATCCCTGAGAGTCATGGGGTGCTGGATGACTTCCTGTCCGCGGCCTCGCTGACCTCTGACCTGGCCATGGGCGGCCTAGAGAAGACTGGCGCTTACCTGACGGATGCCTTCAGCGACTCCGGATACGAGCGGTCCCCTTCCCCCATCAGCGACATGTCCTCCCCCCTCTGCTCAGAGGGGTCCTGGGATGATGTGTTTGCCAACGAACTGTTCCCCCAGCTGATCAGTGTCTGATCTGATTCTGAATATCCCATTGGTCCAATTTAATTAATGATCCAACCTATTATGAGCTCCCTGCTACTTTAGTGTAGTGTTAAGTGAATACAGTACATTATGCTTTATATTGACGTGTAAGCAGCAGAGCGATAGCCTGTCCCAGCAGTGCCGATTACCAATGGCTATACAGCACAAACTGATCTGGGACAAGGCTAATACTAGCGTGAACCTCATCTTGGGGGTTCAAACCAAAGTTAAGCACATTCTCCTTTATTACAGCAGGTCTGTACGATCCTGCATTGGCATGTGGGAGATGGAGTACTTGACACTTTAATTTGACGTCAGTAATCGACAGCTAGTGGTTTTGTAAGATTGCGTTAAATCTTTCCACTCGTTGGAGTTCAGGAGAAATCCAATGGGTGAAAAATCATCCAGTATTTCTGTAAGTTATGTTTCGCTGGGGGACTGGGACTGACTGTTTTAAAAGACAAATGTATTTATTTGTGTGTTCTGCTCCGGAGTCTTCTGTATGTAATCTGTTTCAGTATGTATAAAGGCTTTCTTTACCTCCTGTATCATTTTGTTAAACGCTCTCCTTGTAGATCTAAATTACTGCATTAAAAAAAACTTTGCATTGCATCTTACTGTCTCTTGGTTTCACTGTCACATGCTCTTAGTTTTACAGACCAGGTGTTGGCTCCGAGGTTAGGAGGGGAATACACCCTCAGACAGTGCAAGCTCGGGTCTCTTGAATACTTTTTTACTACGTTATATCCATTACGTTCTACACAGTATGCCTACAAATATAATTGGCCAAAAGTTCAAGCATTTAGTTGATCCTATTGCTTTCTCCAAGAAGCCAACATTTGGCTTATCCTTTGATTCAAGCCTCTAAAGGGCAGTATAGGAAATGCAAAGCTCACTCTAGAGGTCCTTTCAAAATGTGTGGCTTGATCAAAAGTTTCTAAACTCAAATGTAAAATGCAGGACTCTAGGCCTTCACGCTGGTTGAATCAATGTCTCTGTCATTTCAATGAACCAATGTTGAATTGACATCTGTGCCCAATGGTTTTGCTTTTCTCAGGCCATGTTTTTCTTAAAATAACTAGCAAGGCATTTTCATATCTTCATAAATGTAACATGGCAAATATCCAATTGCCACCTGGCACCAGTATGTTTTCTTCTAGAGCAGATAAGATGGCAGGAGTAGAGTTACAGTCGAGTTTAGAGGTGACTGATTAAATGTCACTGATCTATCAGTCAGACTAGGGTCCACTATACTGGGCTTAAGGGAAGCCATGTGAGACAAATGTTTGCATTCCCGCACACGTAAGGACACTCATCTATTACATAACTAAGAACAGGGAGGTTCCTGAGAATCACACCTGAGACACTGGGAGGGTTTCACTGGGATTTATCCTAACGGGGTCAGTCTGGCTTTTCTTTCAGGTTGGGAGAATAAGGCAGCTAGGGTGACAATCTCATCACAAAGGTCTTTCAGTCCTCTCTGTGTGCTGTCTGTCCTCTTTCGGTGTGGGTGTGTGTCAGTGTTTGTGCTGCTATGCTTGGATGGGAGAGCAGCCTGGTCTCATAGACTAGACGTAACATTGTAAATCCTGGACACTCAAATTAGTATGATAAGGTCTAAATTAAAGTAGGGTGGTTGGTCTGGTGGATGAGTTGACGTATAACGCGAATGTCTAGCAACCCAAAGGTTGGACAACTTTAGCATTTTAGCTAATTAGCAACTTTTCAACTACTTAATACTTTTTAGCATGTTACCTAACCCTTCCCATAACCCTAACACTTTTAGTTAACCCTTCCCCTAACCTTAACTCTTTAACCTAAACGTAACCCTAACCCCTAGGCTAGCTAACATAGCATTGCAAATGTGTAACATATTGTAAGTTTACAAGTTCGTAAACATTATTGTACGTTTTGCAAATTCGTAATATAATACGAATTATAAATCATAACATATCATACAAAATGGGTGTTGAACATCCACAAATTTATACATACCATAAGAAACGGAACATATCACACGAAACGGAACATATCATACTAAATGGAGTGTTGTTGATTTACGTACAAAATAATAAAAAATGTGCTGAGACCAGGTTGTCAAAAGTCCTGGGGACGTGAATAGAACGCCCTATTATTATGTATAGAGGGTCCGCCTGTTACTCGTTCAGAATAGAGCCCTATCACTGTACTAGCTGATTAGATCAGCTATTCAAATACACTGCTGATGTAATTGATCTTAACTCTTTAGTGTCTGTCTCTCACTGTCTGTCTGTTTTGTCTCCTGCTGCTTGTGAACGAGTATAGATCAGGGAGGGGACTGGGGAAACAACAACAGTGTAGCACCGTAGTCACCTGTGTGTCTCAGGTCAGTTCTGCATCTGCTTTGCATTTCCCCCAAGGTTAGGATTTGTGGGTAAACACATCCTAGATCTGCATCTGTAGGAGCATATTCACCATGTGGGTTAACAACAACACTGGTACTATGTAGAGGCAGAAGTTTAGAAAATGTACCTTATTCTTATTCAGAACGTTGTCCATTTTGTACTCTTTCTTTGTGGTACCTTAGCCTACTACTAGTCTGCAGTGTGTGGAACCGCTAGTGGTGCTTTTGACACGTAGTGACTGTGAACTTCTTCTGAAGAGTGTGGTTAGCAGCAGAGGCAGAGCACATTTCCCCTCTCCTACTCTCAACCACAACAGAGAATAAAACTAGCTCACAGCTGTTCTACTGAAACTTAAGGTAAAAAATTACTATCAATTCTCGCTTTCATTCAAATGTTCTTGTGGTGAAACCAGTTGTTGACAGTCTGAATGTCTGACAATTACTGTATTTAACAACGATATGTCATGGCCATGTTTAGCAAGACAACGACAAGTGGGTTTAAGCAGAACTAGGGTTGTGTTGTATTCTTCCTTATATGCGCTGATATCCAAACTGGAACAAACTGCTACCAGGTTACAACAGGGTTCGTTTTTAACAGTTAGCCTGGTGTGGAGACTGTAAAGAGCAGGTAAACCTCAGGACCTCTGAGTCTTTCCGTGTACAGTATGATGTCACACAGCGCTGGATGTCAAAGGTCACGCTTAAATTAGAGGCCTACCAATTCGACTTGTTAATATGACACTGTGGTCACCTTTGCATGGGTTTGGATAAATCCTACAGTAGGGCTCATGTTTCTGTGTGTGTGTGTGTGTGTGTGTGTGTGTGTGTGTGTTCTATAAGGAGGACTGCTAGGTCTACACACCATGGGCAGCTGCCTGGCTAGGGTAAATGACCATCTTCATTCTCCACGGTGAGCATTCAAGATCCAATACCTTTTTAGGCAACAGTTTCAAACAGCTTTTCAGAGTGCGTTCTAATAGAAAACATTTGTCTAAGAACTTATCTCCTTCACTGCAGCTGCAGAAAACCTTCAGACCAGATTGAGGAAGTGAAGTTGTTTTGCCATCCTCATAGCAAGGGTTTCCCGAAAATGAGACGGAAGAGGAAGAACAGGGTTTTCCCCGAATCAGAGAGGAAGAACAGGGTTTTCACCAAGTCAGAGGAGGAATGAACAGAGGAGGAGATCAAACAGAGAGGCTCATTATTTAAAAGTGGGCCAGAAAGCCTGGGGAGGGAGAAAAACCATGTGATACTAAAGCCCCCATGTGAGTGGTCTGTGTGTGTATGTGTGTGTGCCGGGGGTGTGAGGCCAGACAGTGTGTTCTAGCATCAAAGTTCTGACCTAAACGAGAAAGGAAGACATAGAGATTGAGAAAGAGATTGAGAAAGAGGGGGAGAGAGAGAGAGAGAGAGAGAGAGAGAGAGAGAGAGAGAGAGAGAGAGAGAGAGAGGAATGAAAACCACCCTCAGTCCAGAACCCCTTTGACCTTTGTCAAAGCGTGGTGATTGGTTTTCCACCGTTGAGAAGCCAGGCAGATCTTAATCCCTGGTATTCATGCTATTCAGTATTAGCCCTCTACTTTATGAATGATTCAGACTGGAAATTCTGCTCACCTAACACAACAACATCTGTCTGTCGTGTGGTCAGCCTCGCTGTAATGGTCTGCTGAGGAGAACAAAACAGTTCAAACCCCCATAAATGACTCATAGGCGAGGTGAGCTCATCAGCGCTAAATTTAGTGACAATATAGAGAAAAGTAGTGTTTTGTATAGCCTGTATAACTAGAATAGAGAAGAAGTAGACAGTTGCATGAAAAGAGACATGAACGTGAAGTTTGACTGCTTATTGTCAGCTATAGCGTCTAACATCATTATGATCCTACACCAGTGGAGGCTGCTGATGGGAGGACGACTCATAATAATGGTTGGAACGGAGTATTATGGCTGGAATGGAGTGAATGGAATGCTATAAAATACATGAAAGCCATGTGTTTGATATGTTTGATACCATTCCATTAATTCCATTTCAGCCATTATTATGAGCCGTCCTCCCCTCAGCAGCCTCCACTGTCCTACACGTGTCTTTAAGTTGTCATGGAAATCGACATGCATGTGTGAACTTGCAAGAAACCAATGTGCAAGAAAGATCAACGCAAGAATGTTAAAGGACAAACCAGACAGAGGGTGAGTGTATGGAAACAAGGAAGGCAAGAGGGTCTGGGTCATTGACTCACAACGACGAGTTCTTCTGACGCGGTCCACCTCTCTCTCTCTCTGTCCCCCACTCTCTCTCTCCTCTCTCTCGCTGTCGAGGTGGCATGTGTGAAACCCGACCTCTTCAAAGAGTATCTTTAATAATCCCACAGCACCCCCTCCTCACCCCTCAAAAAGAAGCCTTTCGTGAACTAACACTCGCACTTGACTCTTTCCCCCTCTTACTAGCTCAGACTTTGCTGATAGCTACTTTATTGAGGAAAAATGTACTTACTATGACTGTGATATGTGGTTGTCCCACCTAGCTATCTTAAGATGGATGCACTAACTGTAAATCGTGTCTGCTAAACGACAACAATATAAAATGTAAATGTATGTATGTGTGCCTTGTGAC